AAAATGTCAGGAAAGCTACCAAGAAATAAAAAAATAAAAATAAAAACAAAGAGATGAGCACTTATTACATAAAGAACAAAGCTTTAACAACTAGAGTACTAGGTTTTCTATTCATTTCAAGCATGCCTTTGACGAAGAAATGAAGGTCGTTTTAAGAATAATCGAACCCAGAGCAGGGACTAACTCGTGATTGCTCTAATGAATATACAGGTGCCAATTGAATGAAAAATAAAAGGAAACTGAAAACATGTTAAAGCAGAATCAATGTGAACCATTGAAGTTTAGCACTCCAAATAAAACTGAAAAAAAAAAATGAGAAGATTAAAATTGGCCTATCTACCAATTACGCTGTTGCACTTGCTCAGATATACTAGCTTAGCTTCAAATATTCGGAGATAAGAAAAATGAAAAACTGAAAAAAATAAAACCTGGAATCTTAAAATCATTCGTCAAATCTATTGTCATATTTTCCTTTACCTGACACCAACTATACGTTGAAATTCTTCCTCCATGGAGCGAATCATATAGCTGTGGAAATCATATCTTGACGTGAGGTTGTGGTTCTGCCATGATTAAAAACAAACAGATAAAGTACACACACAGAGGATATTGTAATCCAATTGCTTATAATGTTAGAGCCAAAACACTGCTAGAGGTATTGCTTTGCAAAATGACTTTAGTGGATTATTGTGTCTACGTACTGTAATAAATCCCTGGCGAAGGGTAAGGTAGTCGGCTCGGACAACTGAGCGGCCAAACTGACGAAAGAAACAAGTCTGGGTATTCAAAAGATAGCATACAATCAGAATTACATTGTTTTTCTCCTAATTAAGGGGTCATCTAATTATCTTATTTTATTTATTTGAACCAGCAGCAAAATTGCAGCCAGATTTAAGTGGCGTACCACCCAGACGAGAATGCTGTTTCTATCCATAGGATTTGATGTGTGCACTCTAACGAAAGTTGATTGTCTCCGCATTGTCAATGCTCTCGTGATTTCTGAAAAAGACGAAATTCCAGTGATTGTACATAATTCACTAGTACAAAAAAAAAAAAAAAATAAATAAATAAATAAATAAATAAATTCATAATGATAATATCCAGAACAATGAAGGCCTATTTTAGTACAGCACTCCTATCACTTTAAGAAAGACCATTTCATAAGTATTTAGTGAAAGGAAAGAAAATTTGTGTGACTTCATAAATGTATGATACTTAGATTATAGTGTTTTAAGTATTCATGTACAAACTAGTTGAGACCTAGTATTGGACTTTTTGCATTTAACTGGATACAAGGTCAAATTATATATCTGGGCAAACTATTCTGGAAATACCCGTTAAGGAATTATGTCTGTCCATATGAGCCTCCTCCTCCCATTTTCTCCAACTGTGAATCTGCCAGAAAAATGTTTGAGCATGAGAAACTGGAAAACCACTTACACAGACACCAACAAAACCATAAATTTCGTTTCATTTAAGAGAAACAGGTAAAATCCAAAAACATCATAAACAGATAAAAGTATGCAGCGATAGTAAAATTACATCCGAGAAACAAAATTCCAAAATGAATGTTTGGGTTCATTTCCGGGGTGAAACTTTAGCCAAGGAAAGAAACCAAAACGAATATATAATGTTAGACATACTACCAATGCAAGAAAAAATGGAAAAATAACAAGAAAAATATGAAAGAAAGAACGAGAGAAAGACGTGCGATTGAGATATGGAAATGTTCTATTCGTCTGGACTGTCAAAATTTATCTCATTGTGATATGAACTGTGNATAAGAAAAAATACTATTCATCTACTCGCATATTTCTAACTACCCATCACTATCAATCAATATTTCTATTACTTTTTATCACATCAACTTTATCATTAGGTTTTTATTTCGTATTCCATTCACAATCAAATCTATCTGACTTTTTCTAGAAACAACTTTTGCAATTTTTCCATCTCATTTTTCAGCGGAAACAATTTTTCGAAAAGAATCTTATGTCCATTGCAGTGCTATATAAGAAAAATCAAAGCAAGACTGAGTTTAATGGCATTTTGACATTCTCGTTAGTAACTCGCCATGTTTAATACATTAATTGGTAAAGTGAGCTTCAAAATCCTACCTTTACAATAGCTAGCAACATCGTCAAGCAACTGTAAGATACATGTGTAATTGCCATGACAAAAATGAATCTGTGCAGTTGCTCGAGCCCTTCATATGACACAAAAGGTTCGTAGTTCTGCATGACAAATTGAAAGTTAAAAGACTATATAGTATCTAGAAGAGTCCCAAAAATCACTCACAAAATAATCAAAGAATAAACAAAATACCAGCTAATTTTGAATATTACAAAAACCACTCCCTGAGGTTAGATTTTGTGTCTTATATTCTGTCCAGCCATTAGTTAAAACCGCAGAAATTACTGAAATAATAAAGTATTTACAATTACACCCTCATTGTTTCTAGACATTAAACATGCACCAATTTACTGCTAGATTCTTTGTAATATTCTGAGAAGTATAAGGGTGTATATTTTAAAATTTCAGATGGAGAATTGAGGTTGTTCTTAACACAGAAACATCAAGATCTGAAATACCTGAGGACTGGCGTTTACAGATGCAAAATGTAATATGGAAATAAACCAAAAAAATATATATATCTACTTACACTGGATTTTTCTAAAATTAGACAAAACCTCATGGTTAGTCACTATAGTCATCACAACAAATAATAAACATTGTAGTTGGATACAACAGTTTAGGAATAGATGCACTCAATAAATCATCAGAAACCTCCTGCCATGATAAACGAAAAGACAAAGTATTCATAGTTTAATGAAAAAAAAAAAAAAGGCAAAGCCACAACTATTGATGTTCAGTTAGTAATAATCACCTCTGGACAGGTATTCCGATTTAAACCCGTCAAAAATCTCCTCTGGGAGTGAGAATCCATGAATGCCATCAAAAGCCTACGGCTTTTCACAGTTTCATTTTCCCTATCCTCTTCTACTTCCTCTCTTGTACATGGTGCAAATACACTATCATAGAACTTTGAATGTATGCAGATATTAGATATAACGCTCGAAGTTGCCGTGAGGAGAAGAGATATGAAGCCCAGAAGCATCAATTCTGTTAACATGTTTTAAAACCAAACATGTTATTAAAAAGTGGATGAAAGAACCATTCAAATGCCATAAAATCAGTGCAAATGTAACAGAGGTACAGTTTTGCAAAAAGAAGTGCTTCTTGTTTCACAAAAAAATAATGTCACTAAAAGAATTCACATGAAATATAGAATTTAGAAATAAAATTACCTTCCTTCATTTTCTCAACAGCTGCAAGCAAAGGCTTTCTATCAGTTTTCCTCAGCCACTGAAGGTCACAGAATAACAGAGTAGCTCAAAAAATTTCATAACAACTTCTTTTTTTATTAATGAAAGAAGATTTTGAAAAAGAAAATAATGTAAGGAACAACCAACTATTGGAACAAGAACCTCATGCTTAGCAAACAAGATAAGGAAAAAAGAATTATAACTCAAGTGCTGCTAAACGTTGAAAATATGCTAGAAAATACAAAACAATCCGACGCAAAAAATCAGAGATGTCAGGCGACTTCAAGATATACCAATTCCGGTATCTCCACAATATAAGTTTGTTGCTTGAAAGTTTTTCAGGAAACAATAAATGGCTACAGTAGAAAAAAAAATACAAAAACCCAATATCACCATAACGATCCTACAATTAGTTATCACTTAAATCTAACCCAATATCCCAAAACCAAGCACGCATTAGTTCATTGTGCCATTTGAGTAGCATTGGTACAAAAGAACAAATGAATTAAGACAAAAGGCCACAGTAGTGTGAGTGTGAGTCACTCACATTACTCAATCGATGAATGGAGCGCTCGACGAGCAGCGAAACTGCCACAAATACGGTCAAGACAGTGGCAACAGACCATGTCGGAGTCAACGCTAAGGACCTAAGCTCCTTCCCATTCTCCGATTCCGACTCAGACATTCCTAACTTCAAATTCAATTCCTTAACAAGTATCCTTTTCAGTTGAAACTAAATCTTCATAACAGCCTGTTGTACAGATCATATCACAAACAAAGTGAATCCCATTTAAGGGAAAGTTCCGAAAAGCTAAAACAATTTTGCTTTGGGAGAACTGCTCAGACTCGCACTAGCCTATATAAGTTAAAAAAGAAGGCTTCAAGTTCATAAAAGAAAATAAATAAAAAGAAAATAAATAGATGGGGAGGAAAAGGAAAACTTTGTATTGTTTATTAATTGTTTAATTATTCCCGTAATAATCGGGTGATTGGAGAACATAAAAATGGGTAGGAGTCAAAAAAGTGAAAAACACATCCTCATTTTGCTTTTACTGGAAGACTATCTTCAACCATCAGAAAGAAATTGCAAAGGATTCAAAAGAGAGATGAAGAAAGACATGTGGGCAGGCACACGGACACTAATAAGGTTAGGCTTTTCTTTCCCATAAAATATCCTATAGAAGAAAGAACAGAAAAACCCGGTCGAAAATCCAGAGATACCGCTGTATTATGAAAAGAGTTCTCAGTATATATCTTTACGAAAATTCAATGATTGGATCTCTGGTGATATTCAGATAAAATTTAATGCATAATTTTTTTATATTTTCAAAATTTTAACTAAGATTTAACAAAGTGTAAAGTAAATTAACCATCTCGTTAAAAGATTGAGCGGAGATATTTAAAATGATACATGATATGTTAAAATCCATCGTTCTTAGAGCATCTCCAATAGTAAAATGTAGAGATGTTAAACGGACTAGCCCTAGTGGTTTCGAGCTAGCCCTACTAGATTTAAACGGACTACCAATAAAGAAACTTAACTCAAACCTAGCAGGCTATATGGGCTATAATAATAATAATAATAATAATAATAATAATAATAATAATATATCAAAAATAAAAATAAAAAATTACAACGGCTAATTACTATTTAGTATTTACCACTTTATATATACAACTACACTTCATATATAAACACACATTACAAATTCTTAAATAACATATTTTTTCTCAAAAGAAAAAAAAAAATCGAACTATTACTTATAACTATCATTTTACTAGTTATTTGGTACCCTTTGAAATTTTCTTAATATTGTATCATACTGCTGAATTTTATGTATTAGGTCTGTCTCATATGGTTTTTTATTAGCCGTTCTGATGGGCTTAAATATTTGGACGTGAAATAGGATTACAACATTTGTTAATAATTATCTTTCAAAATAATAATAACCAGTTATAGCTCATAATTACATGTGAAGTAGAATAGCAAAATTGTAATATACAATGAATCTTGAGACATATTCCTTACCTTGGTAAAAACATTTACACCACCCAACCCAAGTTAAACGGACTAGCCCTAGCGGTTTTTGGGGCTAGCCCTATCGGGCTTCGGGCTAAACGGTCTGGACTAAAAAGCCTTGATCTAAACGGGCTACCAATAAAAGGCCCTAACAGAACCATATTATGCCAATAACCCAACCAACAGAATTATCAATTTCAACCGAACATTAACCGACCGAACTTCTTGGTTGATTTCGGTCGGTTTGGTCAAACCGACCGAACTATACATTTTAAAAAATATATATAATGTAACTATAATNCGTCGGGCCAAATACCGTTTAACATCTCTAGTAAAATGAGTTGTAGTAAATTACAATTTATATTAACAAATTTAACGATGTCTTCACTTTTAGTCGTACAATGCATAATGTAATCACAAATATAGTTATGAGGTGGACATAAGTAATGTCCACAATGTAGAGAAGAATGTGGTTCATCCACATTCTCTTTCACATTATAATCAACAAATTGAGAGATGAGAGAGAAATATTATTACCATTTTTAAAATATCTAAATTTTTTTTCTTATTTACTATTTTTTTTATTTTCCCCAAAGTGGACAATATTATGTTTGATCACATTGTGCATTGTAGATAATTTTTTAGATTTAAAGTTGTGAACTTAAAATTATCTTATGTAGTTCACAATCAATCTAAACAATTGACATTTATCAAAATTTATGTGATAACAACATTTATGCATTAGAGATGCTCTTAGGCATGAGACGAATGACAATGGTAAGTTATCCTCTAAACTAGAATGTACTTTTTAATTATTTTTATCATTTATACATATGCTAGAAATTAAATAATTTTTTTTTCTATTGATTTAAATAGATTATAATTTAAATTAAAACAAGAGTATAATAGGTATTTTGCATCTACGACCTGTAGGCAATGTACACAATATTTTTTTAGTGATTTAAATACCGTACTATATCGACCGGTAATATCAAATATCAGTCATTGGTACGGTACAATTACACACAAAATGCCGGATTTACGGTTATACCGGGATCATACCGGAAAATACCAATCTAAAATACTGGTCAATAAAAAAAATAAAATTTATTAATTTAAAAACAAAAAATTTAAATTGGTAGTTAAAATATTTTATTTTTATCTCCTCCGATTCGTGTCTGATTGTTGACGAGTGGTGTGTGGTGGGGGGTTGGGTAGGGTGCGGCCCTGGTTGCTCGACTGATGCTGTGGATGTGGGACAGCGGCGCGCGTGGACCTTGGCCAATGGTGTTGGCCGGGTCTCGGGTAGCTGGTCTGGTGTGGGGGGGCTGGTCGACACTCCTCTGGTTGCGGGTCGACTTCATCCTTGGAATGGTTCGAGGTTCGGGACTCGTCCTTTGTTAGGCTTTAGGCAGTGGCGGTAGTGGCGTTCCGAATTCTGGATCAAGCTGTGGGTTGGTTAGTCGTTATTTCGCTGGCGCCTTGTGCTGGGTTTGGTTATCCCGCTGGGGAAAGGCTTTGTTGTTGATAGCTTAGGATCTTTTGTATTAGCTTGTTCTCTTTGTTTTTGTGCTTGTGTTTTTAGTTTGGACCATTTGGTGTCTGTGAGCCCGGGTGTGAACTTATTATCCTGTTGGGATCCCACACTCGAGCATTACCCCGTTGGGGTCGTTTAGTTGTTTTAGGTTGTTCGTAGTAGTTGCTTTTGTGTAGTTGTGAGTTTGTCTTTCTAGCGTTGCTAGCGGGCTCTAGGCGATCTTCGGATCGGCCTCCCAATCTTTTTAGCCTTTGGTTGTACTCAGGGGCGGACGCAGACTCGAAAAATTAAAGGGGCTCAAACATAATTTGTACACAATAAAAATATAAAAACAAAAACTATAATCGTTCTCCACATGTTCACATATATTGTATATTCTATAATCACATTATTTATAATATTATTAAATAAATCTTTCTCAAATATCTACTTTTTTTTTTTCAATTTAATATTTTATTCCATTTCAGCATTGGTAGACTTCTATTTATAATATTTCTTCATAAAAATTTAAATCATATTAGTTGAAAAAGTCAGAGACAAATACAATGTAGTAGCTAATTTATAAGAACGCCTAAAATACAATATGTATCAAAACAAATAACAAGAGTTAAATCTTAATTAAGTTAACTTTACATCAAAGTTCTAAAAGTCCTAAAGAATACATTTCTTTTTTTAAATCTTAAATATAAATAGAGGGTTACACAAATTTAAAATATAAATTATTAATAGATACAACATGTGAGTAGAAATAAAAAATACGCTCAAAGATGGAATTGTAAAAGGATTAATGTGATATTTTCATTGTTAGAACAATTACCACCTTTTTATTTAATTAAGAATTAATTACATACAAAATTTGGAAAAAATAAATATTTTACTAATTAATCTTGTTAATAAATAACATAATATACCCTTTTTATAATATAAATATATATGCAGTATTTTTTTTTAAAAATTTTTACAGGGGCATGTACCCCTAGGAGCCCCTCACTAGGTCCGTCCCTGTTTGTACTATTCAATTTTTGGCTGTTTTCTTTTCATATTTTTTTACGGTTTTTATTTATATAATATCTCTATCGTTTCGAAAAAAAAAAAAGTCATGTAATTGTATTTTTTTATTTTTTTAATGTTTTGAAATGTGTNAAATAATCTACTAATATGGGGAATCGCAAGCAACGAGCCAACGACAACATTGGAGCAGATATGGACATCATCTACGCGCTTGACTTGCCTGCTGCATGAAATCCTTTGTGAGGTCCCAGGTAATTGTACTAGACTACTAGTTTTTGACTCGTTAAATTTATTTATAGTATTTCAATAACTTAATTATTACTATATTATTGCCTTGGTGGGATTTAGCGGTCTAAAGTATGATTAAAATATTTATAATAATTTATTGAAAAATATATGACCATCTAATAATTAAACATCGGCACTGCTCTAAATTAAAGAGCGATGGTTTATGAATTGGTTTATTCACATTATAAATATGTGATTGGAGATATATTATCTTGATTATTGTTTCGTACTCAATCTTTTACTGAATTGAATTTATAAGAACCCTTTATCTAGCCAGAGGTGATTCATAATTTGGTGTATGATATCGATATGTATTCTATCCATATATCTAAGTAAAACATGTTCAATTAGTTTTCTAGTCTTTTAGCTCTGTGCTTACACTACTGTTTATGTAAATATTAGTACCGTGTATTACACGAGTACTTAAATATTAATATTTGTATAAAAAAATTAAATAATTAATAATTTTATTTTGAAATTATGTATAGTGAATATGCAACAATAATAAATAACTAACAAAGTGATAATTAATTTGAATGATGCCTATATCTTTACACTGAATTTGTGAAAAAATATATTGTTTAATTAAATTTTTTAAATTATATATGTATTCGTAATATTATATATAACTCCATATATTTGATTCGAATATTTTTTAAAACAAAATAAGTTTTTGTTGTATTGCTACTATATTTTATATTTATAGAGTGAGTGTCTCTCGTTTATTAATTTTTAAACGATTTTAAATTCGTATAATTTAAGAAACTAGAATATTAGTTTACGTAGAAATGTATATTATATTCTAAGTTTATCAAATATAAAATTATTTTATTATATTTAATTATGATATTCCTTTGTGTTTATTATTTTAAATAACATAATAACATTCAATTTTTTATATAATCTATTTAAATTGAAAAATAATACTTTATGATATTTATTAAATTTTATTTACGTAATACTTAATTTTCATTTTTTATCCATATTTTATGGAGAAAATATATTAAAATTATTATATTATGATGTATTAATGAATTAAATGTTTATTAATTTTGTAAATTAAATTATATTGTTAATTGGTGTTTTTAATTTGATTTGATAATAAGATTAGGTTTATTTATACTGATAGATAAAACTATATATTGTTTTATATATGCAATATGGATGTCAAATCGAAGATCGTTAAAATATGATTGTTTTGATATATCATGTATAAAAAATAAAATATAAATAAAAAATTTATAAAGTTTTAAAAATAAAAAAAAAATACATATTTATAATAATTAATATATGAATGAAATAAAAAAAGGTAAATATAGTATAAGGTAATTAAGAAAAACTAAAAGCTGAAATAGTTTATGGTAATTCTAAAGCCTAATAGTTAAAATCAAGCTTGAACATGTGTCAATACGAAGTACAAATTTATGTCAAATAAACTTACGAATC